GACGGATATTATAACTTCAAATTACGTCGTAAACTTCCAATTAATTATATTTTATATATGCAATTTACGAGCGTCATTTCACAATTTAATGATCCTATAGTTAATTGCGAAACGAACACGAAAAAAAAAATACACGGAACTAGAGTATCGTATATTTAATTTAGATCGATTTCTATTTGCTAATTAATTACAATAATTGGCAAAAAAAAATTAGAGAAAAAAAAGTATAGAATTGGACCGAGTACACTTCCTTGAGGCACACATATTTCAATTTTATACTTTTTTTATAATTCTCTAAAGTAAATTATATAAAATTCACTGATTAATTATACGAAAAACACTTATTTCTACTCATTAGTTTTACGTAACTCGTTTAGCGAATTTAATTATCCTTTATTCGTTAATTACTGCGGGTCTCGTTAACGAAACTAGAGCGTGCTTTTTTGGACAAAACAACATCAGCAAAATAAAGCAATAACAAAACAAACCTAAATGAAAATAAATAAATTTCGGACAATTTTATCTCGCTTTTATACGCGAACGAAACGACCGCACGTAATTTAATTAATCCACCAATTTGGACGATGAAACAACGCCGGTTTTTCAGCGTTCAACGAGTGAAAACACGTTTTGTTTCATTATTTTTATTCTATTTGTTTTTGCTTTAGTTGTAAAAATTGATTAATGGCTTTTAAAGGGAGGATTGTAGTAAAAAAAAATATGAAAAAACCAAATTAAAGCTTCGAGTGAAATCATTAAAATTTAATTAATTAGTTAGTTAATGGATTGATCTTAACAAAATCAATAAAGTTGCAAATAGATTGTTTATAAATGTTCTATTTCATTTAATTAAGTTTTAATGATAAATTTGATATATTTATACATCCATGCAACAATTAAGCTATAACACAATACTAGTACCAAATTGTGATCATAGATGGCGTCTTAATTTGTTTGTTAGTAATTAAGATAATTCGATTTTTTCAACGTTATTCATTAATATAATAAACGTTAGGATCAAAGCTTCAATAAATATACAACAAGGACGAGTTAATCCTTAAGAAAAGCACAATTAGAGAACAGCAATAATGGTCAATAATATGGATCAAATAATTTTATCGCTTATGTTTAATTAAGTTTACAACAAAATGAAATGATTAAGCTGTAAAAAACAAGTTTAGTACCAAATTACAATCATAGATGGCGTCTTTAGAATTTTGTTCTGTCTTTAAATATTTTGTTTCTCTCTATGTCCTTCTGTTCTACTATCAAAATGAATACAAATAAGCAAAAAGGACTTTAATCCTCAATATAATTTAGAAAATAATTACTATTTTTTGTGTAAGTACATTGACTGCCAAATGTAGAATTATCAAAGTAATTCATTATTTTTATTCTATTTGTTTTTGCTTTAGTTATAAAAAAATGATTAATGACTTTTAAAGTAAGAATTATAGTAAAAAAATAAAATTAAAACTTCGAATTAAATCATTAAAATTTAATTAATTAGTTACTTAATAGATAGATCTTAACAAGATGAATAAAGTTGCAAATGGATTGTTTATAAATGTTCTATTTAATTTAATTAAGTTTTAATGATAAATTTGATATATTTATACATCCATGCAAGGATTAAGCTATAACACATTATTAATACCAAATTG